GGAGGAGGAGGAGGCCTGAACTCCTCCTCACAACACCCTCCCTCCCCCTTCCCCCCATTTTATCCATCTCTGTTTTATTTTCCTAGAGAGGAGAGGCCGGCGCGCTCGGCGGGAACCGGGCCATGTTCTGAGGGAGGCCTCCAGCGCTCATCTTGGCTCATCTCCGGGTATCGCTGGTGTGCGGGAAGAGATCGCCCTCCTCGCCTCCCCCGTGAGGCTCTCGGTAAGGCGGCTGCGCTTCCAAGTACCCCAAACCGCACGGCTTTGAAAGTCTGCGACGGTCTCTGCTGTATATTTGAAAGCAAACCTTGCCAGCTGGGTGGAGGTGGGTGTCGGTGTTCGGTTCAGGGCGCTCCTGCAGCTGACGAGGCCTCTGTGGCCTTTTTTTTGCCCTGGTGAGAGCCATAGGGAGCCTTCGGGAGCGTGGAGTCACGCAGACCACGTCACCGTCTTCGTCTGCTGGGCTGCAGGGCTCTTTGCGGGCTGGCTGTGTGAATTTGCTGCTACAGCGGAGGAGTAAAGTCCTCCTGGGGCTCATTTCCACTTCAAAGTGTCTCGTGCTGCTTCCTGCCTCTTTTTGCTTGCTTTTAGCGAACTAAAGATTCCTAGCGTGGAAACTCCTGTGGTGCATGTCGAGTTTTTGCTCTGGAAACAGATTGTTTGGGAAATAAAAGTGTGAGATGGTCTGTGTGAAGCTGTCTATTTCCACCTTGGAACCGTTAGTCCAAAATATTTCTGTTCTTCAATGAAAACTTACTCCTGAGCTGAATATTTTCGTTACTGCTCATGTCCATTTACATCAGACCAAAACAACGCAGGTTTATTTAAGGTGTCTGCACGGTTGTTGCTTCAGTGTTTACACCTGAAACTTAAACAGTTCAGTGGCTCTGTGCCCGGTCCCCTACTAGGGCTCAGCTCTTGGGTGGTAAACAATGACGATTTGATCGCTTACAACTTGGTGGGCAAATATAGTTGCAAATAGACTAAGCACCTCTAAAGAAGTTACCTATTAGAAAGTTTAGAGCGTGACTCTTTCCTTGTCCCCCTTTCCTTCGTTTCCAAATGATTTGGTGGAGGAGAGAGAGGTGAGAAGCTGGTGGCCTTAGTTTCCTCCTCCTTTTCTTGGATGATGTGGTGTGGATGAAGCTCTGCCTTCCCACCAGATACACGTGGTCGTTTGGTCAGGGAACGTGGTGCTTTTGGAATGGGCATGTGTTCAGACTGCGGCTGGCCGGAGGTCTTTTGATTAAAAAAGCTTTTATCAAAAAAGCAGTTGTGGCAGACCCAAAGGAAGTTTGCTCCCTCTGTCAGCTTGGAGTCGGAGATCTGAGACTTGTACTGGGGACGAACAACCAGATGCACCAGTACAGGCTCAGGGCGGACCTGCTGGAGGGCAGCTCTGTGGAGAGGGACCTGGGTGTCTTGGTGGATGACAGGTTAACCATGAGCCAGCAGTGTGCCCTGGGTT